TGATGACAATACAAAACCACCAGACATTAATTTACAAGGAAACGAGGGAGCTTAGACTGCAAGCAAAATTCAGTGTTTTGTTGATTTATTGAAAATGTCAATCACAAATCAGTACAGAAATTTTACACATCTCATTCTTTCTTTCAGCTGCCTTTACTTCTTTAAATGGTCCAGATTTCCTGCGTTTGTAGTCATTTTCAAAGACCTCAACAACAGCTGTATGGATAGAACGCCTGAATTATGAAATTGTGTAATGGCTTTGTTGTTCAACTGCATTTGATGAGGGTAAAAAAACTTGTACATAAAACATGAAACTTTACTGTGAGTTCTGTTACATGAACCAAACCTCGGGGTACATTCTGAGTTCAAAACAATTCCTTTCTGCAAAAAAAATATTTTTGAAACACTTATTTTTTTTTACAGTTTTCTGTTGATTCACTTCAGCAATGCAGATACATGCACAATACGTACATGGAGTCTTGGACAGCATATGTGCTTTGAAGGTTTACATCCAAAATACTATTTTCTAGTCTTACATTTTATATCAAATAATTTGACAAATTTCAATAAATCTTTGCCGCTTAATAAAATGTCATTCATCATTGTACGCATTCATGTACTATCAAAAGGTTGTAAAAATAATAATTGGCAGGTTTCTCCATATTTATAGATTTCCAATGGCATTCCTCATCTTGTGTAAGATCACTTCAATTCAAATTAAATAAGAAAAGATGTTTCTTTTGATTGTTGTCGTGTTTAACGAGAAGTGTAAATGCTGCCTTTATCAACTGCAACAAATTCCTGCCAAAAAATGTAACTAACAATCACCTGTTGACCCCAAGACAAGCCAGGCCATGGGAATAAATTACAGATGTTTGCCGGTATAAAGTTCACCACACACATACAAAAATGATCCGTCATGTCCGTTTTTCGCAGGGTCCTATTTTTCAGCCAACTGAGATTGACAAAAAACCTTTTAATTTAAGCCTAGGCCCACCTTTTCACATTTCCAAACATCATTTGGCTAGCACAATGCGAAACGATATCATCCTGGACCAAGTACTGAAGTAGTGCCAGGACTGCCTAGGTAGTAAAATGTGGTCTTCAGCATATACAGAGCTGTGAAAGTGAGGCTTCTACGGTCACGACGTGGAGGAATCCGTCAGTCACTGCAGTGGGTGCGGGCCCCAAGCTCGGCTCAACGGCAACCAACCACAAGGCGGCCGGCCGCGGTTTCGCGACTGGGGCCGGTGTCAGCTTTCTTCCCACGGGTGTCAGCTTCCAGGCACGCTAGATGGCTTGCCAAGCGTGGTAGCCATGGAGTGATTCAGACGTTTCTGATCTCCGACAGAAACAAACAAGCCCATAATTTCACATTTTCACGAAACATGCAGCATTAGCTCCAAACTAGAGAATTTTCCAACTTTCACGACACGGTACACAGTGCGTCACGAGCAATTTCAAATCGAAATGTCACCAAAAATATGATATTCAAGGGTGAGTTTTCATGACTAAAAAAAATTTTAGCTGTCTTCCCGCAGTGAAAATAATGAATACTGGACCCTCGTTCACCAAATTTAAGAACGTAGATTTCTGTAAAAAATACGATTTTAAAAATATCCTTACTTTTTCCGACAGGTACTGAAAAAAATTACGATTTTATTCAAAAA